CTTTCACAGGGGTCGCCTAAGACCATCGGAAAACACATATATAATTACATATTGTTTTTGTGATTAATCACTATGCTTTAATTATGTTCAATTTGTAACAATGAAATTGGGGGTCACCACAACATGAGGAACTGTATTAAAGGGTCGCGGCATTAGGAAGGTTGAGAACCACTGCTCTAGAGCAAGCAAGCGGCCCATGGGCCACGAGTTTGACATGCTTCCTCCAGAACAGAGTGAGTCCTGCCTGGTCCTGCCTGGGCCTGGGCAAGCAAGCGGCTCATCGGCCACGAGTTTGACATGCTTCCTCCGGAACAGAGTGAGTCCTGCCTGGTCCTGCCTGGGCCTGGAGACACCCTGAGGGCCACACGAGGGCGCTCAAGCCCACACGGAGCTCAGGTGCCTCTCGGAGTGATCAGGAAAGTGCTGACCACCAGTGCCTGGCAAGGACAGTCCACAGTCACCGCCTGGCCTCAGAGGTCACCCGTGGGGGGAGCAGCAGACACCGCACATCACGGGGGCACACGCCTGTATGGAAACATACTGCCCAGGGTCCCCGGAAAGGCTCCACGGTGGTGGTGGCTTCTGTCCTGTGGGCATCACTCCCGGCCTCCCGTGAGCCAGCCCGGCTCTTTGCATTTGGGGCACAGTTTTGGCGGAAGCACCTATTTTGCCCGTCGTTGTCCCCCTTCTTTGTCCTCTCTCACCCCCACTGTGAAGGACTCCTTTTTTAAAACAAAACCCCTCTGCTTGGCTGGACCACGTCCTGCTCTGTGGTCGGCCAGTCCTGCCTGGAGCGTCCTCCCTGACCCCATGACCCCATGTCACCACACCCTGGGAGGCAGGGGCAGCGCTCTGGATAGCGGGCATGCCTGGTCCCCATTGCACCGGGGGTGGTGGGGTGGGCCCGTCTGCCTAGCACGGCCAGGAAGCTGAGATGAGGGGATTGCGTGTCAGCAGACCCAGATTTACAGCTCCTGGTGGGCAGGCCCTGAACGCCAAGAGCAGCCCCTCCTCTAGGCCCCTGGTGATTGCTCCTGCAGGCGCCCCACGGCCCAGAGAGGAGGCTCTGGTGTCGAAATCCAGGGATAAGCTGCTGTCATTCGGAACACGTCCAGTTAGTGAGCGCCCGTGTGCAGGGACTAGGAACCTGAAAATACCTCCCGCGGTCTCCACCATAACCCAACAACACTTCTGTCTTCGTCGCCGATATTGTTTTTTTAAAAAGGAACAAAATGTGTGTTTACTCCCAGGAGTTTCACCTGAGAGTGAACAGCTTGCTCTTTGAGGTCGTTCATGGGGGGCCAGCTGAGCTCAGGGGAGAGCCGGCCCCAGGCACTGCCTGTCTGTCTTGAGAGCAGGGACGGGGGAGCCTGCTGAGGTGGGGGAGCCCCCAGATGCCAGACGCTGACAGGACCCTGCCGGGCACCCTGCAAAGCTCCCCCCGGGTGCCAGCCCGCGTGGAAATGAGGCCTTCAGAGCTGAGGTCCGACGCGTGCTTGTCTGATGGCAGGTGGCGGGCTGTGTGGCGTCCCACTGCGTGGGGCCATGGGGGAGACTCTGCGTTTGCTTTTCAGAATTAGCTGGCTTGAGGGTCCCTGCTGGCCTGAGAGGCCACTCCAGCTCCTGTGCCTCCGCCTCGCCAGTCCTTGTCACCGAGTTTCCTCCACCTTTGCCATGTTGGTGCACAGAACTGCCCTCGTCCTGATCCTGGCTCAGGCCGCCATGGGTTGGGAGTGGCCACTCAGCGATCTGTTCTTTCTAACTCTGTGGATGCAGTGACTTCCAACCACAGGACCCTGGCCCATCGCTGCCCTCCCCTGAAAGGTCACTGCTGTCCCAGCCCCGGGGCAGCGCCTTGTCGAGCTTTGTTGCAGACACGGGTGTTTCTGAAGGTATAGTTTGTATGGTCTCTCCAGTCTTTACGGAGAGGAAAGGTGCTGTGTGTGTCTTCTGGCTGTGCTTTCTGAACTTGATATCACTGCGCCCAGACTCACCCGTCTTGTGTCTACATGTCGTGGGCTTTCCTCCCTCTGACGGCGATTGCTCCTGCAGGCGCCCCACGGCCCAGAGAGGAGGCTCTGGTGTCGAAATCCAGGGATAAGCTGCTGTCATTCGGAACACGTCCAGTTAGTGAGCGCCCGTGTGCAGGGACTAGGAACCTGAAAATACCTCCCGCGGTCTCCACCATAACCCAACAACACTTCTGTCTTCGTCGCCGATATTGTTTTTTTAAAAAGGAACAAAATGTGTGTTTACTCCCAGGAGTTTCACCTGAGAGTGAACAGCTTGCTCTTTGAGGTCGTTCATGGGGGGCCAGCTGAGCTCAGGGGAGAGCCGGCCCCAGGCACTGCCTGTCTGTCTTGAGAGCAGGGACAGGGGAGCCTGCTGAGGTGGGGGAGCCCCCAGATGCCAGACGCTGACAGGACCCTGCCGGGCACCCTGCAAAGCTCCCCCCGGGCGCCAGCCCGCTTGGAAATGCCTTCAGAGCTGAGGTCCGACGCGTGCTTGTCTGATGGCAGGTGGCGGGCTGTGTGGTGTCCCACTGTGTGGGGCCATAGGGGAGACACTGCGTTTGCTTTTCAGAATTAGCTGGCTTGAGGGTCCCTGCTGGCCTGAGAGGCCACTCCAGCTCCTGTGCCTCCGCCTCGCCAGTCCTTGTCACCGAGTTTCCTCCACCTTTGCCATGTTGGTGCACAGAACTGCCCTCGTCCTGATCCTGGCTCAGGCCGCCACGGGTTGGGAGTGGCCACTCGGCGATCTGTTCTTTCTAACTCTGTGGACGCAGTGACTTCCAACCACAGGACCCTGGCCCATCGCTGCCCTCCCCTGAAAGGTCACTGCTG